GACTGGGTTGCCGCTGCATATGATGTTGTCCAAAGTAACTGGAAGATCCCAAAGACACTTTATGCATGTGCTCTTGTCTGTCAAGCATGGGTGCACCGTGCTCAGATGCACCTCTTCACTAATGTCTTAGTGAAACCCAAATATCTACATAGGCTTCATAGTACTCTTCAGTCAGCTGGTCATATGTCATCATCTATCAGGACATTGAAGATTGGAGACCTTTATGATGAAGATGAAGCATCTATATCATCATTTTTGGTCTCACATAGACTTCAAAATCTTCATACTCTGTATCTCAATAGCTTGAATTTGGCTCAAGAACATATATGCCTGTTTAGAGCACCACTTTTTCATACTGTGCAACATCTGCATCTTATATTGGAGAAATGCAAAGTGTCACAACTGATCAGATTTATCAATTCCTTTCATTTTCTTACTTCTCTGGAGCTCTGGGTTAATTTCAAGATTCTGGAGCACAATGGCCAAATTCTACCAAGACCATCTCACATATCCAGTTGTTCCTTGACATCCCTTAACCTGGAACTGATACCAGGTGTATCTAGGCTGTTGGACTGGTGTCTCAAAGCAGGATCATTCTTTGCCCACATCAAGAAACTCACCTTGAAGTGTCTTTATTCTAATGACAAGTCTGAATTTATCTCATGTTTCAGAGGAGTAGGGGCACTGCTGCAGCATTGTAGTGCTACTATTGAGGATCTTACTCTGAGTCTGGACCAGGTACCTATGGTAAATGAGGTTTCAGACCTTTGTAAGTTGACACAACAGTTTGTGATTAATTTTGTACTAATGATTTTTACTTAGTTCATTTGGAATCCTTCCCCAAATTGCAGAGATTGAGCTACCAATTATCTGGAGGTGATACAATATTCAAGTATGCAGAGAGGCAGTTCAGTGCAGTCTCTTCAAAATCTGGCATTTCTGAAGTTCAACTAGACATTTATATAAATAAATATGAGCCAGTTAAAGACATTTGCAGCTCTATTGATAGCACCTTGACTAGTGACAAGTTTTCATTCCTACACAAAGTCAAACTCTACCAGGACATTCCCTTTGATTACTTTTCTAACCTGCAACAGCAGGACAAACTGGAAGTAGTGCCATAGGACTAGTCATAGTATTGTAGCATGATGATTATAAGCCAATGTTGATAGAGAATGAAATCACTGTAACCATGTATTTGACTGAAATGTACTACTACTAAACTCAATATCAGAGAACAATTTTATTGTGACTTGTTTTGTACCATATGTGTACCTATATTAAATCAGAAGTAGGGAAATGAACTGTGAACATAGATGATATTAGACATACATTACAAACACAGGATTGAAACCATAGGATTGATATAGGAGAATGATGGTTATTAAAGGCATGTGTTGAGGCATGTTAACTAGACAAAGAATGTACAACAAGCCTGTAGGAAACAATGAGACTTGATTTGTATCATATAATGACATAGAAACTCAATCACCAACATGGAAATCCACTTAATGCAATCCTGATCAACATCCATCCTACACTGCAACATGGTATGGTTGCACTTTGCAGGAGACTGTTATTGAAGACTAACTTAGATAACTGATTCTCTATGGATACATTTTTTCAAGGGCTTAGCTACAGATATCTGTAGGTAGTATTTCTATTGGTCAGCTATATATACAAGTAATATAACAAGAGAAGAAAAACAAGGCAACAAATTAAGTTAAAATTATTTTTTGATAACAAATAACCCCCTCTTAAGCAAAAATGAAAGTTATAACAACAGATAAATAGGAAAATCATACAAATAGCTTGTGTAGGGATGTTATCATTATCATTTAGTTTAAATAATTATATACCTTTTCCCAGGTTACAACTACTCCATGATGAGACTACTTCAAAGCCTCCAAGATTTGTTTTTTCTGCAGGGTGGGAAACAAATCAAAGGGGATATTCCGATGAAGTTGAACTTTGCATAGTAGTGGGAAATTTCCACTAGTCAGAATGCTATCAATAGATCTACAAAGATCTCTAGCAGGCTTGTATATATATAGAAAAATGTCAAGTTGAATTTCAACAATTCCAACTTCTGAAGATACTGCACTGAGCTGCCTAGCTGCATACTGCAATATCACATCAGATTCAATTGCTTGGTATGTCAATTTCTGTAATCTTGGAAAGGATTCCAAGTGGACTAAGGAGATAATAGATTAATATCAGTTTAAGTAATGATAATTTGTCAACTTACAAAAGTCTGAAATATCATATACTAGTGGTACATATCCAAAGTGTAGAGTGAGCTCCTCAAGTGTGGCACCACAGTGGTGTAGTAGAGCTTCTATTCCCCCAAAACATAAGCAAAACTCAGATTTGTTATAGTGAGTCCAACATTGCAAAGTGAGTTTCCTGATATGTTTGAGAAGGGATCCTGCTTTAAGACCCCAGTTTAACAATCTAGATATACCTGGTATGAGCTCCAGGTTCAGCATTTCCAAAGAGCATCTGGATAATAAGTGAGATGGCTTTGATATAATTTGACCATTGTACTCCAGATTGTTGAAAGCAAGATGAAAGTCCATTCTCAAGGAGGACAGAGAATGGAAACAATTGATAAAGCGGATTAACTGGGAAACCTTGCATTCCTGCAAATCAACAAGGTTCAAATCTTGTACAGAATGACAAATTGATGCTCGAGACAGCCATATATGTTCCCTAGTCAGGTCTAGACCGCTTATATAGAGGATTTTGAGATTTTGAGGTCTGCGGGTGATAAACAAAGATGATAATGCCTTCGAGTCATTGAAGTTATCAATCTTTAGTTCAGTTATAAAAGAGGATATATGGCAAGCTGTCCTGAGAGTACACTCGAGCCTAGCTAGACTCTCAGACTGCAAGGTGATGCGACTGTATAGGTGCATCCTAGAACGGTACAGCCATGCCCGACAAACGAGAGCACAGGCTGAGAGTGTTTGTTGAATCTTCCAGTTCCAATCATCAGGCTTATATCTAGCGGCAACCCAATCGATAACATGTTCACAGAGCTCTGTTGGAAGCCGAGAGCGAGTAGGAAATGCTGACATCCTGTGACATCCTATCCCCATTAGGCGAGTACTGGTAGGAGAGTATTGAACACTCACCGCACAACCGCTAGGGCATCCGAAGCTGAAGCGTCTTCGGCGCGCTTCACTACGACCGTGTACTGGTGCTGGGAGTTCGGCATGCTTGTTGACATTGGAGGGAATGGATCGTTGTATTTTGACGTCCTATGGTCGGTCGCTATGTCGTACGGCTTGTACGGTTTGAGGTTATCCAGCTAACCGCTAAGATATCAACCACCAAAGAGGACCATTCACATATGAATCCAGTAGGATTACGATTTGACATACCTTGACTTAGACCAGGGACGTGGGGGGCGAAAACAACGAGAGAGTCCTAGGATCTTGCGTAGTACTGTGGCACAATACTCTTAAATAGATGCGCTACGTACATCTATCATTGTATTCAGTTAAACCCTAATATCATAGGAACGCTACCAGCTAAAAGTATGCTGATATTACGTGTATCGTAATGGTGACCACGATGCGACATTATGTATTGTTCTGCAACATATAGCGGTTAGTTTCGAGTTTGCCAATGGGAAAGGAACTCTACTTCATGATCCGAGATAGAACGTGAGAGCTCATAGACTGTGAATCTTGAAAAACGTCACGTTTACGCGGCCCTATGATGACCCAAATGTAAACATGCTGAAATGTTGAAGTCAGTTCAGCTCTCCACGGGCGCCGAACTTGGACCGTATTTATCTATTGAAGAAGACCGCCGTGTTGGTACACTCCCCTTCCCTGTCGTAGGATCGCCACATTTAATTGATGATTGGTGGAACGTTGGGATAATATCATTTCAAACGACGTGACCTCCAGGCAGATGAGCACTGGGTTCTGATCTCTTTCGCTGTGAGGCAGGAAGATAAGGTCAAGATAGCCATCCTCCACAACCTCATATTGTACTCGGGAATACTGTGGTTAGTAGGCCCAGTAATGAGACGGCGATACAAGATACCGTATATAGTACGACCTTCGACCGGTTCGAGAAGCGCTGAACTTGGCACAACCAGGTCTTGTGGAGGGAATGTAAGTATAAGTTGGAAGCGCGATAAGAGGTGATCTTGATACTCCACATTGGGAAGATACTTTGGGCTCACTGAAAGTGATTTGAATACGGGCATTAGTATTTCGTCGAAGGTACGAGGTGGGTTATCACATGATGAGTATACACTGACAATATGCGATCGTGTCCGAGCCGATTGAATCAAAGAATGACAGCTAGTCGAAGGGGAAAAGTCTTTTCTAGGTCATTCACAGCGTACGAAAAACCAAGAACTCACCTAGAGAATGGATTCGTCTCACTTCTGTTGGTCAATGACGGAGACCCACACGGCGAAATGCTTGCATGTCCCAAAAAACTGCACAGATTCAGCTGTTTGCAAGTACGCATCGGTGGTTGTCAAGCAGCTTGGGGTATTGCATCTCTCAGAGTTGGAGCAGATGCATATGCCAACTCGATGAGTAGCAACCTTAGGAAAATAGGAAGCTGTTGAGATTTGCCATAATATATTCGAGGTAAGGGACATCTGTGTACAAACCACATTAACATTGTACGAAGCCTTCCCTTCAACGTTCTCAAAAGAAGACTTCGTATTGAGATGGAATCCTGATAATACCACCTCACGTGAGCTTCAAGTCAGGAGAAGAATACCAACTTGAACAATCGAATGGACTGTTGTCCTTCCAGAACCGCATTCAAGGTCCTAATAGAACGTGAAATCCATGAAGTGTAGCGATTTCGGAACATACCGCACAACCTGGATGAAAATAGCGTCGCGTAGTTGGTAATGAGAGTTGAACAAGACGCGAGAGTGTACAGGGACAAGAACTGCGGTTCAGTTTGGCGTTGAGTAGTTGGTTGAAGCGTATGGCCCACACACAAGCACCACTTTTCATGGTCGAATGGTGTAGTGGTTATCACTCCTGTCTTACATTCTGTGTACACAGGCGGCCGCCGGTTCGATCCCGGCTTCGACCAGAGCGTGTGACTTTTTGCCGTTCGATGAATATTGGACAAGCGAGGTTGCTCATCTCAAATTCAAGCTCGTTGTTACCACAATTCACCCTCATGACTCTATTGAGAGAACGGCTGTCTTCTCGGATTAGAGGGTGAGAGCCGAGCCTGCTTCGTGACCCATTTTTTGTAAAATTCCCTTCAATAGTATATGTATACACAAGCAAAATTTATGCCTTACCGAGACAGATATCCCAAGGCGACTAATGATACCCACTCGCTGTTTCAAAGTCTCATCCTCAATTGACGTCTGCCCAGAACGCACTAACAAGCCTCGTAATATGGACCTCGAGGACATTGGACGTTTTCATGCCTGATGACGTATCACTCTCTACTACGAGTGGAAGAGCTAGTACTGAACAATACCAATGAACCAATACAAGAGTCTACACCTTCCCGGTATTTGTCTGTTGCTCCACCAGATGTCACTATTTTCTGGGAACACGACTGTGCCCGGGTACCAGCCCTCTAGTTGTTGCCGCAGTATGCAAGCTGATAGATGCCTTATGTGCGTTCGATACGTCGCTAGGCACTTGAATTTTGGCTCGACAATATCTGTACAAACAGGCTACTCGCCGACTCGGGACAGACGATGGACCTTCCGGAGTGGGAGGTTGTAAAGTTCTGATGGTTACTTGAATATGTGGGTGGTTGTAACCGACCGGGGACATTTTCGTTCTTATATGCGTACCATAGGACAGTTAACATTGCTAATATCTTGTATTACGAGCAATACACTAAGTCCTCTCGCCATTAAATGAACGTATGCGTGTACGAGCAAGATGCAAAGGATCCGTTGTTAGCAAATCTCCACACAAGAGATGAGGTGACGGTGAAATCAAGAAAGGGCTTATTCTGTCGGAAGTCAAGTTGTATTTGTTGGGCAACGGCTATAGACTATGAAGTAGGTGTACGGAATTAGCTTGCAGACGATGTCACCGATTTACCGGTACGGAAACTCTCCGGATTTCTGGATCCACAGGGCTTGTTTTGTTCTGATGTTATTCAGTCCTTAGTCAAAATAAGGAACAGTTAAAATGCTGGGCACGGCGATCTGTCTAACGGGTATGGTTTAGCTACTCGAGGAGTTTTGGAATTCCCCAGAAGCTGACGAGGTATATACAACCATGAAATATCCATACTAGTAGGCTACAGTACAACAGACGATGGACTCCCCGGTGTGCAAGTCCGAGTCGAGGGAATAATAGACTGGCAAAGAACCGGAAAGTACAAGGATGTACAAATTGGGACGGCCGAGGTGTCCAATCCTGAACGCAACAGATTAGGATATACTTAGCACCATATGTATTTCTGTTAACGAATATAAATATCAGGATCGATCGATGAACGAGAGAGAATGAGAACCTGTAATGGCGAGAGTAGATGGAGTGGCTGAGGAGGTATTGTGGAAGAACGTATAATCCAATCGAGTTGGACACACGAAGACAAGAGGAGTATACAACTTGAAAGGCGAAATATCAGCAACGGCAGGTTTAAATTCCGCAGAGACATACAGTGCATGGTGAAATAAAACACTGCCAGAGAACACTACTCTGGGCGTACCGCCTGCATCGGCCGACTTTGTGTGGAATTACAACTCCGGGGCAAGTTGGCCTCAATTGCGATTGTATTCCTGCGGCCGTGTTGCCGCTTGCTGCGACTTTACCGGTGCATTTTTATATTGCGCGTACATGTTGAGATAGATGAGACACGGTACAGGTTGTCGAACACTTGCCGGCTAGGATCAAGATGGTTAGCCATGAGACTAAGGCTTCGTGTTCTACAGTTAGAGGATCCCCTTGGGGTTAGGTGTTACGTGAAATATTACCGAAACCGAAGGTTATACGTACTCTGATCTCGCTCTTCAACTGCGATGTCTTGAGAGGTTGGTTTTGTTGTGTTGACATAGACGGGGGTTTTCGAGGTAGAAATGGTGGAAAGACAACACATACCAGCATATCAAGTCTTTCACATGACAAGACAAACGGTTAGATCTCGACGACTGCACAACAGCAACTGTCATCAGTCTTCTCTGTCACAACCAACACATTGAATTCTCTTCCTATAAAATAAATAAAACATGCGCGTGTGTACGTACCAACCAAGAGACAATTGGAAAAGGGAGAGAAGAGCCCGTTGCTGTCGAATCGCCGAACAAGCAATGAAGCAACGGTGAAATTGCGAGCTCGAGGCGTGAAAGCAGCAGGCTTTCTTACGTCTGGACCATGTAATATGAGCTACTCTGACAGAATTCAAGGTGCAATTAGCGGGGAAGGGCTGTAAAGTATGAAGGGAGACATTACGAGGCGCAGTCTATTTATAGACGACGTCACCAATTGGTATCGGCGGCGGTTGAGCAGGACCCCTGGCTATTCCCCAGGAGGTTATATCCCAAAATCCTAATTTTTGGGCCAATCCGTCCTCTATATTTTGGCGTCTAGATGTCCGAAATGGGATACAACCTCGATTTTTGGGCACTTTTCGTCCGAAATCGGTACATAGGCTTGACATACGGGTGATCCGTCCTTTTCATGGGATACAACATCGAAACCGGCGCAATGTGTCCTTTTTATGGGATATAACCTCAAATACGGCACACATGTTTTGAAAATGTTCTGTATGTTCATTTCAAACTCAAACAATGTGAGAAACAGAACAACAATTATAATGCATTAACAGTATGTACTGTATTCTAAGGACATGTCCAAGACAGTTGTACTATCGGAGAATGTAACTAACTCTCAATCTCAATATCTGAATCACCGGAAGACTCCTCATCCCCACAATATTCGTCCTGCACAATGTTCTATCGTCGAAAGGCTACACCATGCAGCTATGAAAACGGCTTAACAGCTGTGTAGACAACCGATATTTCCCCATACAAGTGGGTTCAGTTGAGGCCACAGTGGGCGGCCGCAGCTACTCAAGCACCACTCCAGTATTGCCGTTTTGACCGCATTTGAAAAACCTAAAACATACATTCGATTGGGCCTGGGGACGGACAAAAACATTTCACAACATCCACCGCACATATTCTTACCAGCTCCATCCTGTACTGATCCGTCCTCTAGAGGGATACAACCTCCGTGCGCATAAGGCACTTTCGTCGGGCCGGAGGATACAACCTTGGCCAAAATTTCGGCCAATCCGTCCTTTAAGGACTACAACATAGGGGGTCCGAAATGACCACATCCGTCCGCACGTGGGATATAACCTCCTGGGGAATAGCCAGGGGTCCTGGTTGAGCGAAAGGACAGAGGGTGTTGGGCAGATCACTGATCAGGACCACAGGTTTTGAGATTTGCAAAAGAGAACATGATGAAGAATATTATTATCGGTGAAAGGGGCAAATGTCGGTTCGATCCCTGCTGGGAGTGAACGGGACGCCGGAAGAGGAAGGAGCTGGTAGTTGGGATGGGAGGGTTTCGTCTCTTGCTTTTGTCTCGCACGGACAGAGCAGAGGTCTCTTCGCTCCCTCGTCACAGCAGACGCATTCTCTGCAGCTGCGGTGTGCTCAAGCCGGGGGTGTTTATGCTGACACAGAGCTTCGTCTAGGCTTCGAGCTCCAGTGCATCACCCATCTCTCCATCATCCCCTGACACTCTTCTCTCCAGTTCTGGCTCCGTCTCTCCCTCGTCCCTTCCACCATGAGTGACCCTACCCTCCCTCTCTCAACACTCTCCCTCTCTTCCGATGCCCCCCTTCCGACCTCCTCTGGCATCTCCACCATGCCTTTTCTCAGCTTCAACGAAATCCCAGAGATGACTGCCTGTTCCTCTGGCGTCATCGGTTGGTCCACTTCTGGCGACCTGCACAATCTCACTCTTCTTGTCACAAACTACTTCTTCCGTCCACCCACCACCCTCATCGACGAAGCACGTCTCGAACGACGACAAACATTTCATGTCTATCTACGACAATTCGGTCCCTTTCCAGACCCCGGCCTAATGGATTCGTTCACTTGGTCTCCAGTCGACCTTCCAGGTGGAACATACATCGCTCGAGCTATAGCAGATGAACTTTCCCTCGCTACTACCTCTTCCCCATTTACAATTACAAACGGTACCGATCTCTCCTGTTTAAACGCTGTCAGCTCTTCCACCGCCCCCGCCAGCGGTTCCTCGACATCTGCACCATCCTCAGCTACATCCACATCTACTGCTGCTGTTCCTATTGGTGCTGTAAATGATCCCGACTCAAGCAAGCGTATTGCAGGTGCCGTTGCAGGAGGTGTCATTGGCGGTATTGTCCTCGTCGCAGCCATCATCGGCTTCCTCTTCTTCCTCCGACTCTCATCGCGTCGCAGAAGCGCCCGTGCTAATGGTTCCGGAAGCGGTGGTCAGGGCGGAAGGGGACGAGGTGTGTTGGGCAAATGGAATGGTCTATCATCGAGGGATTCAAACATCGGTGGTGGATCGTTGCCCACTGTCGTTGGTGATGTCAAGCGGAAGAAGCACGAAACTGTGGATTCGATGGGTGTGATCTCTGTTGCAAGCAGTGCCCCCATTGGATCCAACGAGGATGTTGCCACTTTAGCGGAAGAAAAATCGCTTAAGGAGTATATCGAGACTGTCCCCCCTCTCGCCTATCGCAGGTCCTCGATCTCATCAGCACCTAATAGCCCTCACAGTCCATACAACGCTCAGAACCCCTTTGCGTCTCACCCCGCTTCGCCCACCTCGGCCTCCTCCCGCAAGTCGACCTCCCAAAACCGTGCACAGGCTCTTGCCAAACTCGACTCTCACGGCATCGAACGTCAAACGAGTGTTTCGAGCACGGCCTCTTCTACCAACTTCAATCGTCGACAATCTCTCGATGGACGCGTTCTATCTACTACAGGTATGGCTGATCCATTTGCTACACCTGTCGGTGCAGAGATGATCCCCATGAACCGCTCATCGTCCGCTCAAACCAACGCGCACTCGCAAAGACGAGCAGCGAGGAAGCCTGTTCCGACTTACGAC